TTTAAATAACAGAAGCAGCTGTATGAGAGAAAGAAATAAGTTGTTTTTGAATTTATTTTACAATATGAGAAATGTTAATATATTTTCTCAAATTTTGAATATAAAGAAACACATGTAAAGTAGTCTTAAACATAAATAAATTTTAAGTAAATTTATTTCATTTAATTACATTATTTTAAAATATTATCCACTTAATTAAAATTATTTTTTTAATATTCTTTCTTTATGTTTGATGTCAAATTTCATTGATAATTTAGAAAAAATTTTATATTTTAAATGAAATCAGTAATAACTAACTTTCTTATTTAAAGTGAATTTGTATTTTTCTCCCTTTATATTTGAGAGCAAGAAAGAGGACATAAAAAAGGTACTTTCTAACATTTTCTTAAACACTTTCTATTAATAGTTTAAATTTATTAAAATTTAAAAAAATTTGTAGATCACATTTTTTTTAATTAGTCTCATTTGTGTGTGTGTGTTTTTTTAATAGTACAGAGGGCATGTTAATTAGAAGAAAAATTATTTGCTAGTGGTAGACTCCACAGGTCCATGTGTCATATAATTATTTTTTTAATTATAAAAAATAACAATCAATTACATATTATATAAAAATTATTAAAAATAATCATAATCTTGAATTACCTAATAACTTTCAAATCACAGTATATTTGTAACATTTATTTTCTTTAATCTTTGTTAGAATGAATTTATGTCAGAAAGGTAACGAAAATAAGTCATACTAACTAAATAGGCATATATCATAATTGGTGAATGGTTGAGTTTGAGACAGAACGTGGTATGTCCTCTAATTGTGGCAAACAAGTGAGATAATTACAATTCGAAGTGTTTGTTTAAGGAGGGCTCAATGACAATCATAATTTGTAAAAAGGAATGCTACAAAATAGTCCAATGATCTTTGCCAACGTCCACATCTGAAGCTCAATTTCACGTGGAGTTGCCACTCCCATCAACCTGACAAAAGTATTCTAGTGCAAATCGTACCAGCAAGCAACATAAACACAAGCACGTGAACATCAACATGGAAAAGCAAAACTTGCTATGAACCAAAAAAATTAAAGGGGAAATCCCAAGGAGATGATCCCAATGTTTCATATCTGGTCTGGGATCCCCAGATAGTGATGAATAAAGGTTGGGAATAAGTTATATGCAGACACAGCTCAAAGGGTCCTTTGGTCAAAATTACCCATATCAGTTTTCTAAAGGACAAATGTCTTCTGATGGACCCCTTCCCCAACAACCTCTATGAGTGTGGTAAATAATCATGCCAATCACCCTGTGGACCCAAACAATAATCTTGCAGGTAGAAAAGGACCACATAACAACTAATTATAGTCAGAGAATAACTAGGATTGAAAGCCTCGGATGGGATCAAGGGATGTTTGGTTTGTTGTGGGTCCTGTAAATGAAGCAAATTAAGAGAAAGTTAGGCTGGGATGCACTCAACTTAGCTCTCTATCTTCTAGTTGGCATGATGGGATCATGAGATGAAACATGTCTCGTGTCTGCAACATTTCCTGTTCTAATATGCCTGCCATGAGTTGCTTTCACAGTTTGGTATGGTTAAAGGCTAAAGGGCAGTAGTATAAGACATGCAAGAGTGTTCTTAATAATATTTGATGAAGAACCAAAAGGATTATCCTAATGGTGAAAAGATTAGAATAATATACATAGACTTAGAGATAAATTTGAACCATGTTATCATTATTGTAATTCCTATGAATTAAAAAAACAAGGGGTCCAATTAAAATGAATTGGAGGCACCATAAACATATGATCATGTCTTATTTTTCCTCCTAGCAATAACTCCCAAAAAAAAAAAAAAAAGGTTGAATTGGACAAGGGAAACTATAAGTATAAAACTCTCAATTTCTCAACCATAATTTTAATTGGATGTACACTCAAATTCTTTAGGGACGTGGAAGAAGTATGGTGCGGATTTTACAGATAAAGCCCAAAGAAATTCTAATTGACTTGGTCATTCCCAGGAGATGTTGTCCCCTTTGTCAATAACTAGGGTGAACCAGCTGCCAAAACTTGCATATATATAGACAAATGCTTAATAGGGTCACATTCTTAAATCAAACGTTTGAATTATCTTCTCCTTAATATAGAAGACATATACAAAAGAATAAATCTTCTGGATCTATTAAAAATGACTATATAATAAGGGAAAACACAAGTACAACAAACTGGACAATGAAACACTTCAAACTCCAGAAGCATCTTAGGACAGCATTATTAAACATGGCTGCATCCGAAAACCAACTGACATACACACGAGGAAATGCACTTCATGTAAACTAAGTGCCAAATAGAAAAGAAGCAAAATAACAAACAAATTTTGAAATATTAGAATTTAAAGGAGACTAAAAATGATCAAGAGAAACTACAAATGATAACAATAATAATAGTCTTATTCTATGAGGTGAGGTTTATATGAATCACACATTATTAGTATAATCTTGGTTAGAAACTAGATTCTCAAGGATATTACCTACTATGAGATCCTTTGTAATAGAGGGAAATTTTTTTTCAAAAAATCATGATTCTTGAAAATTATAAATCCAAGAATCATGATTCTTAGAAATATCTAAAATATGTTTTATTATTCATAAAAATATTCATATAGTATTCTCAAAAATTAAATATTTTCATTTTTGGTTACACTACTATATTCATAAAAATATAAATATTTTTTTACAAAAATATCCTTTATTAAAATAAATTTATTAGATGTATTTATTTACTCAAATCTTATAACAAATATGACATTAAACTATTTTTAAAAAATTAAAAATTTATAAAAATTATTTAAATACATAATTCAACGAAAAAATAGACAAAGAAAAATGGTACATAATAATTAAGAAGGATAAAAATGCATATTTTATTTTATTCAAATAAATAAATTAAAAAAAATTAACAAATACCATTAAACTATAAAAATAAAACAAATTTTAATAATATTATTAAAATTGATAAGGTTAAGAAATAATAAAATATGAGAAAGAGAGAGAAAAATAAAGATATGGGAGGGAGAGAGAGGGAGAGGGAGAGGGAGAGGGAGAGGGAGAGGAGGAGTGAGAGTGAGAGTGAGAGAGAGAAATAGAAGGAGAAAGAGAGCGAGAGAGAGAGAGAGAGAGAGAAAGAGAGAGAGGGGGGAGAGGGAGAGAGGAAGAGAGGGAGAGTGAGAGTGAGAGTGAGAGAGAGAAAGAGAAATAGAAGGAGAGAGAGAATGAAAAAGATTTTGTTTAAAAAAAAAAGATATTGTGATCTTTTATATGCATTAAAATTTCTCCCTTAGAAAAGTTAGATTTATATCACCTTCATAAGAATACTTTTGTGAAAAAGTGGGATAAAAATAATTCTTGGAAAACTATTTTCTTGTAAACTCTTTAAAAAAAATAATTATAAAAAATAAAAAACTAAGATTCACACTTTAACATTTTTATAAATATAAAAATATTTAACATACCAACTTATGGCTTCACCGGTGCTTCTAATGGCCTTCTTTGCATGTGATCAAATCATTTAACCGATTGACAAACATAAACTATTGCACAAAAAAAGAAGCTAATAAACTCTAATTCAAGTAGAATTAACACATTCAAGGTTGAATCAGAAAGAGTCATTAGAAAATTCTTCAGCCATGATTGTCTCAGTCTACAACATGGCTGAACACACACACACAAAAAAAAATAAGTTGGAAAAACAATGGCTATTTGAGAAAGGGGGGACAAATGAGCACCGGTCTGAACAGGTAAGTTTGCAGGATGTTCTCTCATGTCTGTCATAGATGGTGCACAAATTCCATGCACACAGAGGGAGGACATGTGAAACAATGTCTGATAGAAATAGGGTCTGTATATTCAGCTTCAATGAAGCCAAGCTAGAGTTTGGCAAAAGCAAAGTCTATAAGATTGGGAGCTCTAATACAAAGTTAAAAGTTAAATGTAAAAATATAAATGTTATTTCTGGCTATAAAAATGAACAAATATATAAAAGCAATCTAAAAACTAATAGTACTCTAAAAAATATAAAATCATTAAAACAAGCAAGCTGTCCTAATTTCTAATAATTACAATAGCATGGGAATGTTAAAACAAATAGGCATGAATGCATGATAGGACAAACCAAAATTGGAAAAATGCAAATTATATTGAAATTAGGAAAACTCGTAATCAAATTACAAGATTCACCATACCATTAGCAAGGATTTAGCTACTCATATCCATAGAGAAATACAAAACCCAGACCAGAATCCTTAAGATATTCCATAAAAGCAGAGATAAAAGAATCCAAAACCCCCTATGTGGGGGCATTTGGTCTTCAAATCTTCAAGAAATAGATATTCCTTGAATTTGCAACATTGAACCCCTCACAAAACTGTCTGAGAGCTCAAAAAAAAAAAAAAAAAAAACTTAAGAATGTGTCAACAGTGACCAAAAGTTCTTCCCTTGGTCAATTGACAGGCTTGAATAGCACAAAACTGAATCAGAATTACAAAAACAGGGTCAGAGTTTTGGTCAATGGCACAACTGAGGCTCATTACATACAGCCATGTAACTTCTAGCACAAACATGCTATTTCCAAACAAAGATTGTTTTCCAATGGTGCTCCAAGGCTTTCGCATGGCCATGTTGGAGATCCAGGGGCTGAAATCAGGTTTGGAAGGCTCAAATGCTTTGATAACATACTTTTTTCTGCACATTTTGGCAGATATGCCAAACCTTTTAATTCATCAACAAAATAAGGAAAATTTGGAGTTTGAGACAACCAACGTATTCAAGAACAAGACAAAGAACTAATCTTAGCTTCCAGTATCTTGATTGAAATACCAATCAATGATATATTTTTGTAGAAATAATATTCTTGCTTATTTCAACAATCCTCAATACCAGATAAAGAGCTCAAGAATTACTAAATATGAGACTAAAGGTATAAATTCCATATTTAAAAAAGAGGATGAACAGATAATATGTTTTAACAATATTAGCAATTCATTGTTCTTTTCCATTCAATTTCAAGCAACATTCACACACAAGTATGGCCAATCTTTTGTCAATAAATACACTCTGAGTGGGGGGTGACTGCTGCCACAGACTTGATTCCCAAAGCAAGCAGTATTAGCAAGAGTATGAGGCAAGTAATATTGAGTCGCTGACAAATATACAAGGCACCGGTTGTGTAACTCAGTAGTTGAGCATAGATATCTTCCACAGAGGGAATAGAAACACTAGCCAATAGATGTTGATGGACAGAATCAATATCACAAGGGAAGCCAGCCAAACTGATGAGCATGAATAACTTATCATAATTTTTCATTTGTGTTTCAATGTCAGCAGAAAGAGTTAATATAACTGAAGAAACATCTTGGTAACTATCTGAATGTGTCCCAAGTAGATAGACTTAAACTCATCTTGTTTAGGAATACTGAGCATATCTTGAATGACAGCATACAACCTCTTAATATCATTGGTATATAACGACTTCACTTTGTTCCATTCATAGCATGTCTAATACATAGTAAATGGCGAAAATACCTCTTTGGGAAAGCATGCAGAGAATAGAACCAATCCTGAATATGTCGTGTGCATTTGCATTAGAAGACTTCTTTGAAGAATTTAGAGGCACCATTTTTCTTTGACAAGTCAGTGGTCAGAGAGGATGAAGTCAATCTAGTCGTGAGATCTGACAAGAAAAAGAAAAATGGTATTTGACAAGACGTTGAGAAACAGATATGAAGTGGCAAAGACAATGAACACAACAACAAAATGCTTTATTGAAAAATGGCAAACCAACAAACACAATGGCACTGGCAGCAAATTGAAATGAATGTTGGGAGGGCATGTGAAATTAAGGCTTCACCTTCCTTGCTGTTTATCTTTCTCTATTTTAGCAGTTTTTTCTTATTTTGTTTTAGAAAAAAATTAAATTAAGGAAAAATAACCTCACATGCCAAGTGTCTTTGCTTTAAAGGGAATGGATACATACTCCAGGAATACTGGAAAATTTTCTATACGAGAAGATGCATAGTGGCGGGGCATGGTTGGAAACCAAAGCTGTTGGGATTTATTGCCCAAAAAGTACAAGAAGTAGTAGCAACTTAAATTAGAGTTTTTCTGATGTGAATGAGTTGAGAGAATTCTCCATAATCATATTAAATTTATAATTACAATATACACAACTAAACCCTTAGTTTTAGGGATTGACCAGACTAAGAACAGCAAGCATATAATATGTTTTCTATCATATTTACATAAGGTTTCTTCTGTTCACAAGGAATATAAAAGAAACAAGATTACAAATGGTCAAAAATATCAATGTAATTCTTTCAAATCAATGAAAACCAAATATTTTGGAAAATCTAATTTATGGTTCTATATGTTACACATACGGTACCTGCTGTTCATCACAAGGAACATAAAATAAACAAGAGATTACAAATGGTCAAAAATATCAATGTAATTCTTTCAAATCAATGAAAAAGAAATATCTTGGAAAATCTCATTCTTCTTTGTTATATGTTACACAGGACCCTTGGAACAATGTCTAGCTCTATTATCTACATCTATTCTATTCCACATAACTTTTTCACCTCTCTTTCCACAAATTCCTCGAACCTGGACAGACCTATCTTTATCAATAGTGTAACCTAATAATGTTTAACCAACTCTGAAAGGCCTATATCATGTTCCATGTTTTCGACCAAACCCGTATATTCGATATCATAAGCATTATTCAAGGAACCAAAGCAACATTATTTGGGAAGAAATTTTCTTTCTTAAGGTTTTTCTAGTTTCAAAGTGTATTTTCCACTCAAAATACAAGTATCTGAAAATATGATATCTCATCTCAAGAACCTATGAGATTCATCAATCTTATGCAATGCAATAGATACAAGTTGGTTCCAGACTCCAGTTATGTGTTTGCACATATATGTCATCACAAATAAATTCCCCATCCTACTACAGATTGGTATCAAAAACAAACATTTCCTGGCTCACTTTACCAGATCTAATAATACATGCATAAAATGAAATAAAAAAATAAAAATAAATAAATAAATAAAAGGTGGGGTGGGGGAATAAATTTCAACCATCAAAAACAAGTCTTTTTCTTGATTTCCCTGGAGACAGACCTTTGGACCGATTGCTTAACAATTGTTTCAATACAGTATCATTCCCGTGAATCACATTAAAAGTCACTATGTCTATTAAGAAATATCAAGCAAAATGCACCCAAAAACGTTGTCACTGACTTTTCGCGAGATCACAAGACAACAATTAGAGCCACTCTTTTCCAAAACAAATGGATTCCAAGCAACTGCATGTACCAAGTAACCCTCACTAAACCCTCAAATCTATAATTATATATATAAATGACTCCTGATTTGGTATACATAATTTTGTATATATAATTTAATAAACTTTCAATTTAACAGTTGAATTTACAAAATTTACATTTATATAAAGTTATTGAGCAGTGTAACACTTAATAAAAGTTATACCATTATTATAACATTTATCTATATATATTATTTTATCCTTAAATTTTTAAATAATAAAAAATAATATTAAAAATTAATTATTTTTATAAATTTAAGAACTAGATACAATACTAGTTGACTTTATAAATATTAATAATTTTAAAATATTTTTTAATAAATATAAGTATACGAAATGTCTCGACTCCACTAATATATTTAATATTAATTCTTATTTTATTATTTTAGTTAAAATATTTCTTTAATATAATTTTAGTTATTGATTAAATATTTTTTTTCTCATATATATATATATATATAGTTTGTAAATAAAAAGAAATTATTTTCTAATATTATAAATAATTCATAATTTTTCATCCTAAAATTTAGTTTAGTAGTTTACGATTTTATAAAATACCGTTTAAATATTATATTGCATATTTGGAGAAAAAACACTTTTTAGTAGTTTACAATTTTCTAAAATACATTTTATGTTATATGTTAATTTTGTAAACTTAAACTACGCATTTGGAAAAAATATATATTTATAAATAAGTGTAGTTTGATTCGGTTTAAAGTGATTTCACATTTCAATCCAAAAATTAAACTAAATCATAAATTTTTAAAAATTTAAAAACATAAATCAAGCTACTCATTTTGTGATTTTTCATTGGTTTTTGATATTTTGGATCAATTTGCAGTTTTTTATTTGAGTTAATTTGATTTTGAACACCCCTAATTCAGAATGTAATATTACTTAAAACTAAACTTATAATTAATATCTATATATTAAATAAGAATCTCTATCTTGCATAAAAACTTGTTTAGAACTTGTCTTATATAAAAAGATTTTGAGGATTTTTTTTAAGTTATTATCTAATTCAATTTTTATTTACATAATTATTTATGAATTATTTTAATATTTTAAAAATAAATTATCAATAAACAAAAAAAATACTATGTTATAATATAAATTATTTATTATTAACATTTATATAATAAACATGAATGTCTGCAAGAGTATTTTTAGAAACTTTTTTTCAATAAGAGATTTTTTAGGAATTTTTTAACTTCTTATCTAATTCAATTTTTATTTGTATAATTATTTATAAATTAAATTTTAATATTTTAATAATAAATTATCAATGAATAAAAAATTATAATATAATATAAATTATTTATTATAAATTTAAACGATAATGTATATACTTAAAAATATTTTTTTATACAAATTTTAATTATAATGTATATATTTAAATATGATACCTTTTATATATAATTTATTATAAATTTTAATCTATACTAATATATAAAGGGAATACTTAGATATGTTAATAGACAATTATATCTCTCATACATAAAAAAATATCTTATATATCCTTTATAAATAATCACACACAATCTTTTAATATTTTATCTATATATAATTATTAGAAGTACGAAGTGTCTCGAACTCGACCCTTAATTATATATAATAATTATTTAACTTATGTATTACATATATTAAAATATTGATAAATGATAATTAAATAAGAATACTTTGATTAGAATGCATTGCTTTCTCAGCTTCTTGTATTTGTGCTCGTTCATCTTCCTCTTCTCCTCATGCCACAACACTCTCGAAGGTGTTTTGTTTTGTTGTTTGGTATGTGACTATTTTTATTGAACTGGGTTTAGTACTAATTCGTGTTTCCAAATGGAAAAAATTAAGTGGAAAACTAATTAAGGGAAAAAATCAAAAACAACTGCCCCCATGCAGGATCGAACTACAGACCTTCAGTTTACAAGACTGACGCTCTACCACTGAGCTATAGGGGCCACTGTTGAACATAAAATTCAATTTATTTTCTTGTATTTTAGTATAACTCAAATTCAAAGCTGCCCAACTAATAAGAAATGAAACATAATTTGAAGCTTTTTAGTGGTTAAATTAATTTATAAGTTTTTATAGTTTCACTAATTTTTAATTAAGCAATAATTTATATTTATTAATAAAATTCTTGTACGTAGTTTAAAATTTTGAAATTGAATATTTAAAATTTAATAACATTAAATTTGTACTAGATATAGTTGATGTATTGCTTTCTATATTTTGTTATGACTTATGAAGAAGCTAGATCGGTTGTGGTTCCACAACTAAAATAGTATAGTTATTCGTATTGACATCACAACAATGTTAGAATAAGCTCAAATCAATATTGTCACAAATTATCATTGATTGTATCACATTTATGCTAACATGGTCAAGTCTAAACTAATATGATCATGTTGTTGTTGACCTTGTCAAGTTCAAACTAACCTAGTCATGTAATGATCTTGGTGGATCTTATACCATCAATTTGACACAAAGAGTTTAAAGAAATTTGAAAAAAAATAAATAAAAGATAAATGAAATTAGATAAGGAGTGTAAAAAATACCACAATCCCTAAAGATTGATAAGTTAAAGAAATTTTTTTACAAATAAATAGAATTTTTTTGATGAGGATCTAGGATTCTTCTTAAGAACATAAGAGAAGCTCTCATTCAAGTCAATGACTACTTTATTACCAAATGTAACTTGTGTACAAAAGTCAACATTATGTTATTTATATGTTGGACCTTTAAATAACAAGGTCCAACTCAAACTAAATTCCAAGTGGTGTATTCGCCCCCCTCAAGCTTTCTATCTCTTGTTCTTGTTATTTGCCTTTTTATCTCAGGCTCTCCTTTCTCTCCTATTTCTTCTAATGTCTGTAGAGGTGGATCTCCATCACATATAAAAAGCCACGATAATACATTTATATCTTAAACACATTTGTAATAATAATTATGTTATGCAATGCTTCTCATATTCTATTGTAATTATGCATATAGTGTTATTTCAAAAAACTCATTCTTAAATATTGTAGTTTAGGATTACATGTAGGCTGACAAAACTACTTGACTCAAGCTCTTAACTAGGGGTGAGCAACGGGTGGGTTTGGTCGGGTTCGGGTGAAAAATGTCCAACCCGTTGTAAACCGACTTTGAAAAAATGTGACCCATATCCGACCGACTGAGCTTTCGATTTGAGGCGGTTCGGGTTGAAACGGATTCAGATTTAAGCGGGTGGGTATAATCGGGTTTGAATTTTTTTGTAGCTAGACCAATTTATCTTAACGAAGATGAAGCTTAAAACGATAAAAAAATATTTTTAAAATAGTGTATAAAAATAGAATGAAGGTGACAATAGATGGTGTAAATAGATTCGTAGTTGAAACATTTACAAACTAAAGAAGCAAAAATAAAAGATAACAAAATTCATAGTTGTTACATGGAAAAGAAATATAAAGTTAGATTACAAAACCATAAGAAATCACAGTCACACAAAATGTACTCAAAATGGAGATAAGAAGATGGAAAAGAAAGACAAAGAAAGAAGCAAAAAGATAACTCTAAAAATGGACTAGTGTGTTGAGAAGTTGAATGAGGAAGGAGAAGACAAAATAAATATCTAAGTTATGAGAAAAAGGAAAAAAATAAGTTACAAATTGATGGCTATATTATACTTGAAATAAAGACTTTTAAATTTGGACCATTGTTGTTTAGTTATACAAAAGTAATAAAAATTTAAACTTATCTCATTTTCAGTTGGGTTCGGTTTTTAGCGGATTTAAAAATTCAAAACCGAACCCGCCCAATATAACCCGTATAAAATCAAAATTTTAACCCGATTTACCCATAAGACCCGCCCGAACCCACCCAAAAGCAATATTTTTTTTCGGGTTTTTCGGGTTCGGTTCGGGTGTCGGTTTAATGCTCACCCCTACTCTTAACATCAAACACTCTCAACTAGAATGGTATCCACTAGTGACTCATCAGAGTTATAAAGTTACGCTAGGTTCATCCATCTCTCATCATGAGCTATAAACATAGTTACCAAATTATGTGCATCCCAAAGTCTAAATCTAAAGATCCTTAATATGACCTTCTTAATGTAAGATTTGACTTCAATACCTCAAAACTCTAAGCCTTTATGTAAATGATGAATGTCTTATACATATATATATTCATAACATACTTATATCTCAATCTCAATTCTAATTACACATGTCCAAATCTCAATACATGGGGTCTCAATCTCATTGATTCTATGTTTGGATTCCATTCCTCTATAACGGTTCTCTCAAGGTGTACCTCAAGTACCTTAGGATACTCAAGACTTCAATTATTCTCATGTTCACTTAATTATATAGATTAAGGCTTAGTTCTGGTTAATAAGTTCACATTTTTCTATCAAGGGGAGTCACGTTTAGGGTTGACACCCCCACGTATAGCACCATAGATACACATAGCAACTCTTTTTCTACATGGTTCTCATCTTAGGCGAAGCAACTCTCACTTATCATCAAAATCGTTATAGCTTATTGTGGTCATTGTCAATGTTGTAAAAATCACTTGGCAAACCAATTTATCGTATGATCTTGCAATTTTAAATACTATTGACGTGCTATATGGGATGAAATATCATAACACGTACACGGGATCGTTTTGATTTATGATTATTAATGTTTAATATTCCATATTTT